GCAATGAGAAGCCCGCGCACTGCAACAAAGAATAGCCCCCACTCGCCGCAACTAGAGAAGCCCGCGCGCATCAACGAAGACCAAAGGCAGCCAAAAGTTTAAAAATTAATTAAGTAATTAAAAAAAAAAAAGAAAGTCTCCCCTTTCTGAGCCTCAGTTTCTCAACTTATATGGGAATAGGATCTGCCTCATGGAGGGTCACAAAGATCAAGTGACCCTTTTGAGCACAGTACCCAGCCCAGAGCGGACACTCAGTAAACATCAGTTACCCCAACACCCTCACAATGCCCAGTCTTGGGATAAGTGTTTATTGGGCCACTGGGCTGGAGGTATCACCAGGCCTGGCCCAGACAGAGGCTCCTCTCCCAGTCTGCCCTGGACATTATACTGGGCCCTGGGCCTCGGTCTTCCCTATACACGGAAGGGATGTACCTTCTGTGCTGTTCTCACAGGACTGAGGTGGGAGCCATGAGGGAAGGCAGTCACAGACAGGCTCACACTGCTCCCTGGGCTCCAACCACTCCTGGGCCCAGCCTCTAAGATGCTCACTTACCGGGCCCCATGGGAAGCCCCAGCTTCAGGGCCCCGTGGCGCAGGGCATAGGACAGAGCCTTGGACAGTTGTACATCCCGGTCCTGAAAGAGCCCAGAGGCAGCCGTTAGTCCCTGTGGTGACCCTGCCCTGCTGCTCACCCTGAACTCAGTGATCTGCTGTAGGAGCCCAGAGGGAGAGGAGTCCCTGTGCTCCCTGGGAACAGCACAATCCATCCGCCCCCACTCCCACCCGACCAGCATTTCCCAGGGAGCAGGACCCCCTCCCCTGCCCTCCCACATTGGGAGCAGGGGTGAGGGTGGACGGGGCGCACCTGTTCCCGGGGTCTGTGAGCCCTTCTACCCTTGGGCCCTGCTGCTTCCGGCCTCCTTCCTCTAGAGGCGTTCATGGCCAAGACCTGTGGGGAGCAGTGAAATGTGGAGACTGTTAAGGACCTTCCCATGTCCCCACGATGCCCAGAAAGTCACAAAGCCTCGGGGTGTGAGAGCTGGGAGGGAGATATTCAGATTTCTAAATTCACTTCCCACCCCTAACTCCCTGGTGCACATAGGGAAACTGAGGCCCAGCAAGACTTGCCCAAGGTGACACTCTGTCAGCCACAGGGCCCAGGGAAGTCGAGCCCCTGCGACCCAGGCTCCTGGTCTGCCCCGCAAAGCGGGCCTGGGGAGGTGGAGCCGGCAACCAGGCTAACGGGGCAGAAATGTCTGGGCCGGCCAGAGAAACAGAGCCGGGATGGACGGGAAGGCTCACCGACTCCGGGGGGCCGGGCAGCTGACCCGGACGAGCCCGTCAGCTGACCCCGACGGGCCCTGAGCGCCAGGACCGGCCAATGAGAAGCCGAGGAAGAAGGGGGCGGGTACTTCCGCTCCGGGGGAAAGAGGCGGAGCCTGCGAGGAGAGTAGGCAGGTGATTGCCGGCTGCAGCCTGGAGCTTCCGGACCCTGGGAAGGGTACCGCCGCATCAGGGGTTGAAGGCAAGACTTTTGGTTTGGGGAGACAGAGGCATTAGGGGGTGACAGGACCCAGGACCTCTGAGTCGTAGGGATGCCCGGGAGTCTCAGGGATGTCTGGTAGCAGGAGCCTCGGAGCTCTTGCTGGGATGATAAGACGTTTTACAGCCCAGGGAGGGGTCAGGGGGGTGCAGAAGGGCTGGGAGTACCCTCAGGAGGTTTGTGGCAGAGGGGGCCAGCTGTCGGGTCCAAGGGTGGCTGTGGGTCCCCCGGGGTGACAGGCCTGGCTCTGCCCTCCCCCAGAACTGCCCTATCCAGATCATGGACCCTGAGGTGTCCCTGCTGCTGCAATGCCCCCCGGGGGGGCTGCCTGAGGAGCAGGTACGGGCTGAGCTGAGCCCTGCCTACGACCGTCGCCCACTGCCAGGAGGGGACAAGGCCATCACCGCAGTCTGGGAGAGCCGGCTTCAGGCCCAGCCCTGGCTCTTTGATGCCCCCAAGTTCCGCCTGCACTCTGCCACCCTGGTGCCCACTGGCTCGCCGGGGCCACAGCTGCACCTGTGCCTGGGCCTTACTTCCTATCGAGACTTCCTGGGCACCAACTGGGCCAGCTCAGCTGCCTGGCTGCGACAGCAGGGGGCCACCGACTGGGGTGACAAGCAAGCCTACCTGGCGGACCCCTTAGGGGTGGGCGCTGCACTGGCCACTGCTGACGACTTCCTTGTCTTCCTGCGCCGCTCTGGGCAGGTGGCTGAGGCACCTGGGCTAGTGGACGTGCCCGGTGGGCACCCTGAGCCTCAGGTGAGATGCCAGGCTGGGCGCAAAGGCACAAAGACCCAGAGAGCTCGGCTTTGTTTTCTTCATCCCTTAAAGGGGGAGTTGGCCTGATGCTTATCCGAAAGTCTCCGCTCAGGGCAGCCTCCGCTCAGGGCAGCCTCCCTGCTGAATCCTGCCCCAGACCCATGGGAAGTTAGGGAATTGGGGGTGGGGGTAGGGATGGAGGACCTAGCTGGACCTGTGGTTTTCCATCTGGAAAAACAGGGCCTGGGTCAGGGGATCACCAAGGCTCTCACTCTGTGCCCAACCAGGCCCTCAGGGCCAGTGAGTGTGGGGAAAAGCAGGGCGAGAAGAGGGGAGCAGGGGCTGAGCCTGACCTCTTACAGGCCCTGTGCCCAGGTGGCAGACCCCTGCACATCAACCTCCCTGGGGAGCTGGTGGTGCATGAGCTCTTCTCCAGTGTCCTTCAGGAGATCTGTGATGAGGTGAGTGAGAGGCAGGTGGGACAGAGTGGTGGGCAAGGAGGGAGGGGATAGAACAATCCAGAATTTCACAGGTCTGGGATGGCAGGAGTGTCTGTAGGCATCTGGCTTTTTTTTTTTTTTTTTTTTTTGGCTGCCTCACGTGGCTTGTGGGATCTTAGTTCCTTGACCTGGGACTGAAACCAGGCTCTTGGCAGTGAGAGTGTGGAGTCCTAATCACTGGCCCGCCAGGGAATTCCCAGGCATCGGGCATTGAGCAAAGAGCTCGGCTTTGCAGCTAGGCACACTTGGAGTGGAATTCTAACCCTCACCTCTGTGTGCCTCGTCTCTGTGTTCCTCTTTACAATGGGGACAATAATAAATGTCTTGCCTACTCCCGCCAGGTTTGTTGAGAAGAGGAGTAAATGGGAGTCCCAATTACCTTTTAAAATTTTATTTATTTATTTTTGGCTGCGTTGGGTCTTCGTTGCTGTGCACAGGCTTTCTCTAGTTGAGGCAAGCGGGGGCTTCTCATTGCCATGGCTTCTCTTGTTGAGGAGCACAGGCTCTAGGCGCATGGGCTTCAGTAGTTGTGGCATGTGGGCTCAGTAGTTGTGGCTCGTGGGCTCTAGAGCGCAGGCTCAATATTTGTGGCGCACGGGCTTAGTTGCTCCACAGCATGTGGGATCTTCCCGGACCAGGGATCGAACCCGTGTCCCCTGCATTGGCAGGCTGATTCTTAACCACTGTGTCACCAGGGAAGTCCCCAGTTACTAAATTGACTTCCCTAGGGTGACCCTGGGCTAACTGTTCCATCTCTCCCGTTGTGGTTTTCCCATGTGAAATGAACATGCCCAAGATCTGACATTCTGTGATTCTGGGCACTTGAACTACACACTGTAAAATGCTGTACAAGGGTAACATGCTGTTCTTCATTGAGAGGGGCAGGGATGTGGGCAGTGGGCACTGACAGGTGGTACGCCTGGCCCCAGGTGAACCTGCCGCTGCTCACCCTGAGCCAGCCGCTGCTGTTGGGCATTGCCTGCAATGAGACCAGTGCCGGCCGTGCCAGTGCTGAGTTCTACGTCCAGTGAGTGAGCTCTGGGAGGCAGGGTCCTGGGTCCTGGAGTAGGTGGGTGGTTGAGCGGCATGGCTGAGGCAGCAGGGACTCCACAGGGACCTTACAGGGTCTAAGCACTCACCAGGCCACTCTCACATCCTTGTCCAGGTGCAGCCTGACTTCTGAGCAGGTGAGGAAGCACTACACGAGTGGGGGACCTGAGGCCCACGAATCCACAGGAATCATCTTTGTGGAGACACAGGTTTGAGGTGGCAAAGTGTGTCTCGTTTGGACAAGGAGCTGGGTTGGGGCTTGCAGAGGCCTGGTGATGCATGTCTGTCTCCTGGGCCTGGGTCAGAGGGGCCTCCCACATCTCTCAGAGCTTCCCTCCAGAGGCACAAGACCTCATTGGGGATGTCCTCAGCCCAAGGGAGAGGGCCAGAACTGTGGGCACAGCTCCTGCAAGAAACCCGAGGTCGGAATATTTGGGTCTCACTGTCTTCCCACAGAGTGTGAGGAGGTTGCAGGAGACTGAAATGTGGGCCGAGCTCTGCCCCTCAGCCAAAGGCGCCATCTTCCTCTACAACGAATTCCAGGAAAGTTCCACCTAAGTCGCCCTAGAGTCCCCAGCCCTATCACCACAGCTCGGAAGACAATAAAGGACTTTATTCTTGGATTCCGTTGGCGTCTGCTGTTTCCGTGAGACAGAGAGAGGGGCCGGGGTGGCTGAGAGAGACAGGACAAGTGACTTGGGGGGAAAAAAGGCCCAGCCTCAGTTTTCCCCTCTGTAAGCTGAGGGCTGTGCCCCCTTGCCAGGCTCCGGTGAAGTTCCAGGCCGATTATGGGGTGGAAACTGCTTTGTGAAACGCGTCTCGCTGCAGACCGGAGTAACAGCCATGTCCGAGGGAACAGAGCAACGGGGGCTGAGCCGAAAGCCTCACTGAGGGTCAGGCCCCCTGCCGCAGCCTCCCCGGGCGGGCGCTGGCGCCTTTCTGCAAGTCCCCGGGCTGCTGTCTCGATGGGTGGATCCGAGGCGTCAAAGGCCAATGGATTTGCGGGGGCGGGGCTTCGCCGCTGTTCCGCACCCTCAGGCCTGTGGGCGTGGTCTGGGTGTATACGCCAATGAGAGTATGGAGGCGGGGCCTGAATAGGAGCCGGAAACGGCGGCCGCCGAGGGGTCTGTGAGTGAAGGGGGGCGGGGCTTGGTGTGGCTCTTCCTGCACCCGCCCCCCGAGCTCCCAGGGTGGGAAGCGGGTCTCGGCGTCCGGGGCTGGTTGTACAGACGCCCGGGTCAGAGGCGGGGACAGGGCCAGGACATTGGGGTCTGGTCTTCAGCAGGGAGGTTCCACCCGCCCCTGAGTCCCCGGGCCTGCTTCGGTTTTCCTTTGCATCTCAACGGGGCCAGGCCCCTTCCCTCTGCCCCCCACCCCCACCCCTCATCCCCGCTGCAGTGGTTGAAGTCTGCTCCCATCCCACTGTTCTTTGTGACCTTTCACCAGCTGCCCGGCTGCCTTCATGCTGCCCCTGCGCCTGCGCCGGCTGTGGCCCCACAACCCTCCCACTCGGTTCTTCGCAGCGGCCGCCCGGCAGCGGTGAGTCGGGCGCCTGGGGCCGGGCCCGGTCGTTCAGTAGGTTTTTGTGGCTGGCCTGCCCAATTCTAGGCCCTGCGCTAGGTGCCGGGATAGTCTAGGTGCTGGGATAGTCGTGATCTCTTACGCTGCGTCAGGCGCCTTACAGGCTTGTCAGATTACCCTCACCTTCACTGCTGAGAGGGCACGGGATCAGAGATTAAAGGATGACCCCCCAAGGTCATACAGAGAGTTAAGTGGCACATCTGGAATTTGAGCCCAACCAAACCCAATGCACATTCCACAACTCAGGTGGTTGTCAAGCGTCGCTGTGCATAACCCAGGCGGGGTGTGGGGAGCTTACAAAACTGCAGATTCCTGGGCGCTGCTCTGGAGATCCTGATTTGCAGGAATGAGGTGGGCCTCAAGAATCTATTTTTTAAAACATGCTTTTCAGGCGTTTCTGATGCAAGGGGTCTGAAAACTACACTTTGAGACAATCTGATCTGCCCCTTACCTGGAACAGTCAAAAAGGGAGGGATGATTTCGAGATCTCCCTTGGCACCTGCCTCAGCCCCCTCAGCATCTGGATGCTGGGTTGAAGGGTGTGGTCCAGCGGGGCTGGGATGGGCAGGGAAGGGGTATCCTCTGTGTTTTCCTTAGCCCCTGCAGGTTTGGGCCTCTCTCCACAGGTCTGGCCCCAGTAACTACTATGAACTGTTGGGGGTGCATCCTGGTGCCAGCGCTGAAGAAGTTAAACGAGCTTTCTTCTCCAAGTCCAAAGAGGTACCAGTGGTCTTAAGTGGAGTTGGGGAAGGGAAGTCTGAGCCAGATGGGGTCCGCTCCAAATTCTCAGGAATGGAGCTGAGAGGCTCACTCTGGCTGGTGCACATTCCCTCAGCATTCATAGGGAGGGGGAGCTGCCCCAAGGGGAGAGGTCTGGCCGGGTGGAAGGAAAGGCTGTGGGGCAGGAGCCAGGAGTCCTGTCTGATGGGCTGGGCTTGGTTCTCTTGACCTGCCTGCTCTTGAGAAAGCTGGGACCAGGGCATCCAATGAGAGCCAGGTAGCAGGTGGGGAGGGCTTGAACAAGGGGAGGGGGCAGGAGTTTGTGCTTCCTGACTCTCTGGTCTTCTAGAGGGATGTGCAGGCCTGAGAGTGAGGGTCACTGCCCAGGGAGGGCCTCTGGGTATGATATGAGCCCTTGTGGGTGGATATTATCAGGATAGGTCATGGGAAGGGAGATGAGGGGAGTCCTGCCCCACCCCAGCTGCACCCTGACCGGGACCCCAGGAACCCAGCCCTGCACAGCCGCTTTGTGGAGCTGAGTGAAGCGTACCAAGTGCTGAGCCATGAGCAGAGCCGCCGCAGCTATGACCACCAGCTCCGCTCGGCAGCTTCCCCAAAGTGTCCAGGAACCACAGCCCATCCCAGGTCTGCTCATCAGGCACACAGGTACAGTAGTCCTGCCCCCAGTTTGCCACCCCCAAGTCTCCTGGGGAGCCCCGTCTTTACACTGTCCCTTCTTCTACCTCCCAGCAGCTCCTGGGCACCCCCCAATGCAAAATACTGGGCCCAGTTTCATGAAGTGAGGCCTCAGGGACCAGAGTCAAGGCAGCAGCAGCACAAGCACAACCGGCGGGTGCTGGGGTACTGCCTCCTGATCATGCTGGCAGGCATGGGCCTGCACTATGTTGCCTTCAGGTGCGCGTCCCCCTAGGGTGATGGGCAGAGGGCAGGAGGGTGGGTGAAGCCCAGTGTCAGCCATCCATCCATACCACCCCTGTGGCCTGCACCCTTGTGTCTCTCAAGCTAAGAACTGCATGAAATAGGTCTCCTCCAGAGTCTCGTCTTATTTAGCAAAGGCAGCTCTGCACTAAGGGCTAATGTCATTTTCAGTTTTTTAGAATTTGAATTTAAATCTTGGTGCTGGTTGCCAGAGAGTGCTGGAGCCAACCAAACTCCTGCACAAGAAGGAAATGCATTGAACTGGGCCTCACCAGAAACTGTCTTCATTTGTTTGGTAGTTGCTGTTTTCCTGCCACTCTCTCATGCGTGCCATTGCCACTGAGGCTTGATAGCAAAGACACCTAAAGGCTGGTGCACACTGCTAGCAGTGTGCCTAGTTCAGTGACGGAGTTAGATGAACAAACCTTTCGAGTCGCCTTTAAGGACCTCCATGACGGAGCTGCTGTCACCACCTTCAGGACAGTCAGGGACCTGGGTCGCCATTAGGCCCTGGACAAGAACCAGCTACTCTGTGCCCCTTTCCTCATCTAGCCCAGGCAGTTACCTGAGGCAGTTAGCTGAGGTAGTTAGCTGAGGTCACCACAAGTGTAAAGCTGTGAGACCCTCAAGTAGGGTAGAGGGGGGTGGGACTTGGGAGACAGCGGGGATTGGGGATTCCCAGAGTCGGTTGTAACCCCCTTGCAGGAAGCTGGAGCAGATGCATCGTAGCTTCATGGATGAAAAGGATCGGATCATCACAGCCATCTACAATGACACTCGGGCCCGGGCCAGGTCTGTCCCAGCTCTTTCCTGCCCTCTCCTCACTGTCCTGGCACCACCCTCCAGGATCCCAACCTGACCACCAGGTACTCTCCCCTGCAGGGCCAAGAGAGCCAGGCTCCAGGAGGAGCAACGGCTGGGGCCGCAGCTGCAGCCACCACCCGGGCCTCCTCAAGGCCCCGGGATCGTGCCCCCCGGCCCCAGCCCCTGAGCGGTTCACCTTGGAGAGCACACCTTGGATGGGGCCTGCGGTGTGCTCCCTTCTGGGACACCCCACTCCCCAAAACGCGTGCAATAAAGTGATTCTCAGAGCTCTTGTCTGGCTCGCTCGTACAGGCCCAGAGCCCCCGGCCCGGGCCCCGCCCTCCGGGTTCTGGCGGCGGCAACCCGGGAGCCCGGCCCCCTGGGCGGTGCGTCCCCTTTCCCCTGCTGCGGCAGGAGGTGGGGTGTGTGTAGAGGGGGCGGGCCCCGCCGGCGGCCTCGCCCCCCCTCCCCCACCCCGCCCCCGCCCCCGCCCCGCGGCCCGGTGGGGAGCGCGTGTCTGGGTCACATGAGCCGCCCGCCCGCCAGCCCGGGCCCGGCCCCCCGCCGTCCCCACCGTCCCCGCCGTCCCCGCCGCCCGCCGCCGCCACCACCGGCCGCCCGCCCGCCCGGCTCCTCCGGCCGCCGCCGCCGCTGCGCTGCGCTGCGCTGCCTGCGCCCAGGGCTCGGGAGGGGGCCGCGG